TATTCTTCTATAAATCGAGCTTAATTCTGTGAAAATAGTGGGTATTCTTCTATAAATCGAGCTTAATTCTGTAAAAATAGTGGTTATTCTTCTATAAATCGAGCTTAATTCTGTGAAAATAATGGTTATTCTTCTATAAATCGAGCTTAATTATGTGAAAATAGTGGTTATTATTGAAAATCAGATTTGAAATTTCCTGATGAAATGATGGCTAATTCCAACTGGAATTCTTGGGATCTCTCACAAACCACCAACACTAGTTCGAGACGAATATCCAGGATGAAAAATTTGTATGTAAAAATCTCTTCTCAGTGATCCTTTATGTTCTCTTCATTACCATTCCACGAGTTCCTACTTTCTACTATCACTATAACTCTTGAAATTCCTCAATATACCCAACCTAAAGAAGAAACCACTAAAGTGGAAGTTAATAGGAGAACTAAGAGATTACTTGGTCCCTACGATGTCTTTTAATCTCTGGATTCTTGCAAAAGATATTTGGGAAGAGCTATCAAATCAGCTGGAAGGAAGAGTAAAGACCAAGAAGAATTCAATGCCATTTTGTTTGGAAAGTCTCCAATCCGCTTATGATAGGTTTTACTCTTTGATTATCAAATGTAAGAGGAAAGGGATAACAAAATCTAATGACGGAAAAGACCTTATGTTCTTCAAGAGTTTAGGAGATGAATGGACTCAACTTTCCGTGTCCAGTGTCCTTACAAGCTAATCAAGGTTTGGAGGGTTGGGCTCTGCATTATGTGTATGGAACTTTGGTTGCTCACCACATACCATTATGTGTTTGGAACTTTTTTTTTAAGTATATAATATTTATATATGGCAAATGCAACAGATAAACTCACACACCCTCCTCACCTATGGTGAGGTTTGAACCCCTGACCTCCTAGAAGGCCAAGGGCTACGATACCGCTATGCCAAAGGCCCTTTGGTATGTGTTTGGAACTTTGGTGTGACAAGACAGACCATTATGCAGCAAATTGTCGTCGATGGTTAAGGATGATGACTACTACAAGAATAAGTATAAGTATAACCACAGAGTAAGAGTCTAATGGCTGAAAAAGAAAACTGGATCTTAAAATTCCACCTCTGAAGATGAACATGACAAAGCCCATTTCTATTTAATGGTCAGAACTTCAAAAAGTGAGCAAACATATGATATATCTAATTCTGATGGTATGAATCAAAGGTATGTACTACCTCTAATAATACTAATTCTGATGGTAGTTCAAAAGTTAAAATTAAAATTAAAATTAAAACCAGAGAGAAAGGAGAGAAAGAAAGTAGAAGAAGAAATAGAAATCATCAAGAAAGAATAATAGTGAGTGATAAAGGAAAACGAATAGAAAGAGAAAGGCAGAAATCAGAAGAAGACGATGAGAAAGAAAAGAGTGATAAATTGATAAAAGAACTGGCTGAGAAAGAAAACGATCTAAGTGTCTCTGAATTTGGCAGACTTAACTCTGAATAATTAATTTTTTTTCCCAGAAAGAGAGAGAACTTTTGCATCAAAAGTTTCCAAGAAAACAAATCTTGATTAGAAAATATCAAGATGTACAAGATCTCGATATAAAAATCAATTCACAGATGGATAGACAAGGTATGGATTCAAGTGATCTTGATTCTTTCATTGGAAACAAGAAAACTAAGTATATCATCAACTTTTAACATTGGATGTACTCAAACTCCTGCATTTCCTACTTTAAGAAAATAATCTGTTTTTAGAAAATGTGGAGAAATGAGAGAGAAGTCGGAGCTCAAAGTTTAAAAACCAAACTTTAAATAAGAAAATAAGACTCAGTACTTGATGATTTTAGTTGATTTTTGTTACTGTGATTGAGGAAAATGATTTTTTTAGAGTTTTGCAAAAAGAATCAATGAAAATAGTTAAAAAAAAAACGACCAAACGGTCTTGAAAACCCGTTGCCGGCGAGTTGAGATCAAATATGCGCCGAAAGGTCTAGCCGGCTGCTGGTGGTGCTGGCCGAAAGGCTTGAGCAATGACTATATTTAGATTGGATATTAATTATGTTACATTAAAGTATAACTATTTAGATTATGTTAATTAATTAATTAATATATCAAAAGTATTATTTATTTAATATATTAGTTTATTTTAGAATATTGATATTAATTAATTAATTAATTACATCATAAGGAGGTATTTATGAAATTATTTAATTAAATTTAAATGACGGATTTGACGCGTCATATTTGGTTAAATATTATGAGACGCTTTAATGAGAAGCAAGCGATTCCTTTAGTTACTAAAATGATAAATCAATGTAATGAGTTGTTATTAAACATGATACTTAGAGGCTTATTAAATTATTTCCATGATTTATAATGAAATTAAAGCATCGTAATTTGAGTTAAGTATTTATTGAGACATTTTAATTTGGGGATATGGATCTATAAGATTATAAAATGATTATTTTGACGTTTTGGGACGTCATGAAGTTTTAGACTTGGGGTTTGACTAAAGTTAGTCGAGGTTGATCGAGTTGATCAAGGTTGTTACCTCGTTTGACCCACAAGGATTTTAACAATGAGATAAAATGGAGATATTTGAGACATTAAGAGACTCGATTTTTGAGTTTGACTTTAGGACGGGTCGAGTTTGACCATGTTGACTTCTGTTGACTTTTGAAGAAATTAAGTCATCACTTAGATATTATGATATGAAATGTGTGGGTCTTCGGTCAAGGACTATCAGTAGCCGATCTACATACAATCAGATGAGTATTCATGAGACTTAAAATGGGATGTATACCTACATGCAAATTTATTTTTGAACATTATATGAATTTTATGCATTGTTGGGTTTTCTAGTGATCAACACACGCAACATAAGCCGAAAAAGTCCACGCCAAAATGCTAACAGACATAAGGTTTGAACCGACATATTGTACAAACCCGATATTTAGATTCGACATATTACATAAAGTTACAAAAATTTATGCAATAAAATGTCAAACCCGATATTTAGATCCAATAACACATACATAGGACATCAAAAACATAAAATCAAAGAAGGTTAGAAAGGTATACCTTCTAAGAAAGTAGAAGGTTGAATCTTGAGCCTTGAATCCAAAGTAGGACTCCACTTTAGATTTGGACCTTTGAATCGAAGCTCAATGCTAGCTTAAAATCCCTCTTTGAATATATATATATATATATATATATATATATATATATATATATATAGGGGAGCGATCAAATGCAAACAACTCAATTTGTACAAACCGTGCAAACCGTATTCAACCAATCATAATTTTTCATTTTGTTCATTTTTTTTGTAATTATGAGAGGTTGATT